CTGCATACTGGTTTCTATCCTATCTGAGAGAACACAATACAACTGTAGACATTCCCTCTGCCTGAAGAAGTGTGTTTGTACCTGAAAGCTTGCAAAGAACAATTTTTCCAACTATTTAGTTGGTCTAATAAAAGATCTCTCATTTACCCAAAGAACCTTGTCTTCACTTATAGAGGGAAATTTTCTCATTACAGACAGACAATACTGTGGGTTTATCCCAGTAATAGCTCCTTCTGTCTGTGTTTGGGAGTGGCAGTTGTTCTTGCCCTAGTAACACAATGGTATGAGACACATAGCAGTTTTTCCTGCTCCCTTTTCCTTAAGTATACAACCCTAATTCCTTTGACTAAGCTATGTGCAAAATCATAATGATACATAAAAACAACACAACATAATCCATACATGATAAAAAAATGATATAAAAGAACATAACCTAACACTGGCTTTTCAATGACACCCCATGCTCAATATCATTAAAACAAACTCAAGAAACCATTCATGGCATCCCATAAACACCCCAAAATAGGTGGGGGTTCATGACAGGGATTATTTTACATTTCATTATATTTCCCTATTTTTTCATATTCCTAGCCATATATGCTATGGTCCAAAAGTGTCCCCACATGTCCCAAAAAGGTAAGTGTTCAAAGACATAATAGCATGAAAAATTCAGATTTGCAGAAGCTGATAAACATTTTAGAGCGGGGGAGGCTTCAAGACAGATGTTTTCTTCTGACAACCTTTTGTTCAAAGTTGTTGTTTGAACTGCTGCTTTTATTCTTCTTTCACATACATTACAGATGTTAGTAATCTCCCAGTTAGCTGTGGCTGCGTTAGGAGAAAGCTCTGTGACTAGGAAGAGGACATGTCACTTAAGCAAGAGCTGAATGATGAGATATACAATAAGCATAGGTAGCTTCAAAGCATCTACAGCAAAATGAAAAAGCTGGCTAATGAAATATATATCAGAGATGGAAATAAAAGTCTTGACTTTAAAGCTATCTTTGTTTATCTCTGCAACCAGAGTGCAGATATTGGTAGCAGCAGAGAGGTCTTTTTGGTAGTATATGTAGTACACAGAAAAGTGGGGTGCATCCTTCAAGCAAAAGGATTCCGAACCCAGCTGCAGCAGCCATGGTCAAGACAAGAGCAGTGATAATAATAATTACATATCTTCACAGGTCTTACTAGGGAGATCTGCTTTAAAATGCAGAGAAACTTTAATCCAGTGTAAACCTATATGAAAGCTTCAGAAGGGGAAAGATGTAATTAATAATGAAGCTTCCACAGTGGATCTGAGCTTCAGGTCCCTCTCAGGACACTTCAGGGGACATATATAAAAAAATTGACAGTCCTCCCTGAGTGAGACAACCCAAACAATCTGGAAAACTGTATCACTGAGCAGAGCTTCCTCTTGTCCTCAGCACTCCCTCAAAATTGGTCAATAATAGACAAAATGTTGAGTTACAAATACTCCTGTAATTGATCACCTCTTCCAAACCATGTACAAACACCTTAACTGTATTTTTTCAAAACCATGGACAGTTGTATAACATATCCCTGACCTCTATCTGTTACATCATAAGGGGTGCTAGCAGGTTTATATCTTCCCTTTTTTAAGGTCATCCATTTTGGTCTATCATTTTACAATGTAATTTTTTCATATTAAGTGGAAATATAAAGTCTAGTAGAAAAGCACCTTTTTATTGTGCTTTGTCAAGGTTCCCATTCAGTCAGCACAATTTATAAGAATACCCTCTGTCACCGTGCAAATTGTTCTCCTATCTGCATGTTCCTGTACCAAACTTTTATCCAGCCAGTGAAATGGCATATTACAAAGAGAAATGCAGATCAAGGTACAGCAAATTTGCACCTGCAAAACTGAAAGCCAGTCCAAGACAATTTTAAAAATCATGCCCTGAATCTCTCAGCCTAATGTAATATTTTCAACTGCCTGGAAACCTGCCATAGTAAAAATGTTTCTTTTTTAACTCAAAGCCTTATTTAACGCTCACAATCTTAGCATTGGGAATATGTACTCAGTACATTCCTAAATGCTACATTAGTCATATAGAAAATTTATCAATAGTTAAAATTCACAGATGTTGGATAAATAACATTTATATCAATAAATCAATAGTGCAAATGCATTGAAAGCTAAGAAAGTTTTGATAAAAAGCAATGTTCACCATGTATTTTGTGCCCTGGTATTGTTCCTACCGATGTGTAAGGCTAAAAAGGGCCACCTATTACTGTAGAGATGTATCTAAAAAATCTCTCAAGCTGCCTGTAATAATCTCCATTATGTATAATGACCATTTTGATAATAGTCTTTAGAAGAGGTAATGGCCCTGCTGAATGGTTATTACCTGTCTGTTCACGCTGGAAGCAAGATGCAGAAGCCAGAGGGGACAGTCAAATGGTCCTTGTAGTGTAGTCTGAAGGAATAAAAAATATTTAACAAAATGCAAGAAACAGAGAAGCAAGTGCCTTTTATTGTAAAACTGTCTGTTGTGGTGCAATGAACCTTTGTGAATTTCTCAAAATAAAGATATAGAATAATAATCAATATTATAACAACAGGCAGGCCATCAGTATGCAAACTAATTTTAAGTGTCAAAGAGTCTATTCAAAATAAAAAACCTAAATGTTAAATATATTTTTATATGTAATAAGTTATACATCAATCCCATGCAACCCCAATAAAGTGGTATCAACTCAGCTCAAAGAGATTTTAAAACTGATCCAAATGTCAAATGCACACAGACGTTCTGTACACCTGCTGTGGAAATGTGCATGTGTACAAAGTGCTGAACTATGACAGCAGCAAAAGCCATACTAGACACCTAGGGAATCACCTTGGCATTAGATTTAGGGAGGGTATTTTGGCAAGAAGGGTACTGACTTAGGAGACACGAGGTCCAGGTTCAGTTCATAGCCCTGCTAACTGGCTTCCTTTGTGACTTTGGCCAAGACACATAAGCACTATTTTAGTCCCCTCTGCAGAAATCATTCCTCTGCAATCTCTGTTGAAATTGTAAGCATTAAGGGACAAGGACTATGGTGCCTATAAAACATGTCATAACTATATGTATATGCATATGTATTATGTGTGTGTGTATATATGTGTGTGTATAGTTTTGACTACATAGTTTATTTAAAATTAAATAATATTAAATATTATTAAATATTAATCGTGTACTGTCCTGAAGCTTCTAGATAGGTGAAAGGGTATTGCACATGGTAAAACTAGAATAAGGAACTAATCCAAACTTCAACAAGGCAAGATGCAATATTCATACAAAAAAAAAACCATTAATATTATATAACATTAATGTGTATGGAATTGGACAGGCATTCTAAAAAGTATGTCTGTTCTATAAAAGAGATAATTGAGGAAAAAAAGAGTGGGAATTGTAACTTGTTAAAGGTTAGGCAGAAATTCAGCATCAAACACTTCACATCCAGGTCTCCTGGGTCTAGTTCCTCATGTATCTTCCCTCATGAAGAGAATGGTTATTTGAAAATTACAGAAATCTCTGTATAATTCTTTTAAATATGATGTGATTGCTACTACAATAACTGCAGTGTCATGGAATGACTCTGTATCCACCTTTGCTGACAAGGCTTCTGGAAAACTAGGAACAATGGGGAACATTTAGCCAGAACAAATGTACTTTGACCAACAATGCTAAGGTGGCTATCTGGGGGTAGGAGAACCAGTTCTTTTCCTGTTTGCCTTTAGGGAGAGTATTATTCCCCAACCAGTACAAAGCGACAAGGGCATTAGATAGAAGTTAAAACGTACTCATGAAGGAAGACATCCAGAAAGCTTTGGATAAGGTATAAGAAGAAACAATCATGCTTTTGTAGCTAGGGGGTCTAGTTTAACTGTGAAAAGCCCCAAAGTAAGAGAAGGCAAGCTTATTTAGAAATGCTATGGTTAGAAAGCCATAGAAGGAATGGCCCATCCAGAAGACCCTGTTCCAGAAAAAAGGTATGTCATGTATGTTTTATTGATCTAGAACTGAGTATTTCTTGTGTTATGTGAATTAGGGCATTTGGCATAAATTTCCTCAGATCCCAATCACATGACTTACCTTAATACCTGCCAGCAGCCTAAAGGGCATTGCTGTTAATGGCATTTCTTTCCAAAATACTGTGCAAAGTCTACCAGTATCTGATTGTCTAATTTTTGTTTATTAAACAAATAAATTAATCTGCTTCATCTCATTTGAAGGTGATATACTCATAAGGATGAAGTCCCATTTTTTGACCTATTCTGTTCCTGTTGTTTGCTTCCCTAGTATAAACACCAAGGTCTCACCCACTCATTTACTTCTCAGCGTATGCTAAATTCTGGAAATGAGGCAATGTAGCCACCTTAAAGCCACCCGACTACGTGCCCAGAAGGAAAGCTGGGTTATAGACTCTGCATGACTCTAATCTGGCTATACTGCCTTATTCCCAGGATCAGTGTATGCTCAAGCAACACTGAGAGGTGTTTTTCTCAGTGGTAGTCCCAAGCACAGCATGGAGATGGTAGAGACAGGCCTTTGAAATCCACTTTCTTTTGGAAATAGTTTGTAATGCTGAGAACGTTCTTCATTCTTTGCTTCACAGTCTCAGCTGCTTTCCCTGTCTTAGCCTAGACCCTGGGGAGGGGCAATAACATTACAAGATTCTCCTATTAATCTTTAGGAGATGCATATCACAGTGCAGTTCATCTTTCCTACTGTAACTATGCATAACCTAGTTCCTTCTAATTGGCCATGTGAAGACAAACTTTTCCCCTGCCTACTTACTATAACCCAATTTGTTCTCTGTCTCAGCATATTGGGTCATTGGCTGAGGAGATCTTTAAGCACTGAGTAGGCCTTTAAGAGTAATTCAGGACATCTTAAATGGCTAATTGCAGGGCTTTAGACTGATTCTGCAAGAAACTGTGCTTTCAGGAACATGGGTCATGGGAGATATACAAGGAAGCAATAAAGAATGACAATAGGCACCCCAAAAGAGATTGTTTAGGAAAAGAACTACATCAGAAAAACAAGCAGGGAGTCATTGACTTGAGGAGGCAGCTCCATATGTCAGAAGAAAAAAGAAATAAACTCAGGGCTGCCTCAATTTGCACTCACTGGTTAGTCCACATGAATGTAACCACAGTGAGCATACAATTGAATTGTACTTAGGCACACATTAAGAAACAACGATGTCGTTTTTGAAACGCTAAGGTTGAAGAACAGAGGTAACTTCGTTCAATTACAATGCATAAAAATTACAATGTAGCAACTCAACCTGAAATATATAGGCTTTGCATGTAATTAGTGCAAGTAAATGGAAAGCGAAATCTGTATTTTCATATTGTTAATGCAAAAAGTATTCTTAAAAGAACTATTACACTGCACAAACATGGGAATTTTGGAACCGCCTGACAGATAATCAGACTTGTGGTGTATCCATTCTGGAAGCCAGTCTCTGACAGAAGCTAGCACACAATGTTCCAAAGGAAAATATAAGAAACTAGGCAACAATTACTAAAGTTTTGCTCTCAGACTGCAAGCTGGCCAAGTAGCTTGTTAACCCCAAATAGTTACTGTATGACTTGAACCTGAAGGCTGGTATCACTTATTTACATTCAGCATTTACATTCATCCTACATATGGATGTACCTGTGTGAATATCTTTCCTGGTTTTTTCCCCTTTAGTCTTACTCTATTCTTAGCTTGAATAACATCTTTTGGCACTTAGTTCCATGGGCTAATTATGTTTTGTGTAAATTAAGATTTCCTTTCATGGGTTACATTTTCTTCTCAGTGTTTTTTTTTCATATTCATTAGATGTGTCCCTTTGTATGTAAATCTTAACCATAACAACATTGCTACTTGTGATACTATAGTCCAAAGTAAACCAGTTCAATATACCCTTTTACAAAGCTTCTTCTAAGCATCCTTTAAAATTTTCTCCCAGACTGAAAACTATAATCTGAAATTTGTTCATCTAATAGCAGATCTAATTCAAAAACAAATTTATAATCATTTGAAGAAGTCTGTGATAGACTACAGAAATGCTTGCAAATGTACAAATAAGCACACTAAATCAAATTGCCCATTTTCAAGTTGCACGTGGATGAATGAAAATAATACTTAGTTTTTCTATGTAAGCTGCTTTTTGGTGCATTAAAGTCATTAGTTACTATCATCTTCTGTGTTTAAAAATCCTGCTTGAAAACAGCACTTATTTACCCAATAGACTAAAATGGTTCTGCCATGTCAATTTTCCCAAACTTGCATGACAGATTTTATGTGTATAAATAAATAAAAGGAAATGCACAGGCAAAAGGTTTGTCTAGGTTAGTTGTACAGCATTAAAGTTGTTATTAATACCACTCAGAAAAAAATTGTTGAAAAAGATTTGTTGGGGAAAGCAATTTTTTCACAGAATCCTAATATTGCTGACAACATTACCTTCAGGGAAAAATAATCATATCAAGGGGGGTTTTTGTTTCAGAAAGTATTTGTTTTGAAAAAGTGAAAAAAATGTGTTCTGATTTAATTTTTTATCATTATTTCATAACACATCAGTAGAAACGTTGTATACTCCTACTACTACTGTATCATATGAGATAATATAATAGTTTAAATCTTCTATTATTCTAACATTCTATTGCTTTTTTAAATTATTAAGGGAAACTGATGCTTCATATCATTTGAATTGTCTTTCATTAGTGCTTTAATGAAACTCTTTAACACTGTTTCAAATATCATGTATTACTACAACCACTGTCATTAAAAGAATAACAACAGCTTTTTAAAATAAGGGAAATAAAAAATTATACTCTGAAATGCAATTTCCTAAAGAAAGGAATTTAAATGGACATTTTGTTTTGTACAAAAATAAATGTTTCTTTTTTTCAAATTTGAAACAAAAAAAATAAATGCTGAAATAGTCACGAATCAGAAATTTACCATAGGTGAAGACAAAAGATGTTTAATCTGTGCTTAAGAACGTAAGGCTGCAGAAATACCTTTTGCCCACAGTACCTTACACAGGAATGTTGAGTCATGCAACCATTTAAAAAATAAGACAGTGGTACCAAAACACTGCCACTGCATTCTTAGTTGTTACCATTGTGATGTAATATTTTCATATTCACAACATCTGCCTATTAATCATCTTCTAGGCATCGTTATGGTAAATGATGAGTAAGACCAGTGAGACACCAAAACATGCATAAGAAAGAAGATCCTAAAATATTCAGCCATCATAACTTTATATAAAATAGATGAGAAGCAAATACCGTGTCAAATGATGTTAAACCTTATGGTTGTGTAGAGATATTCAACAAGCTCAAGGCAGAATCAATCTAAGTTATGCAGTTTTCTATAAGTGGTGTAGTTTAGA